CAAATGATATGAAAACTATTGTCTGGAAGCTCAAAGGTAAAATTACTATTAATAGGGATATCAATTCTATTTGTCTACCATTCAACCTGCCATCTCTATGCCTAGAAGACTACGGTGGAAGAATGTTAAAGGGTTTAACATTAAAATTAAACTAAATAATTAAATTAGCTCAAATGAATTTTATAAACTACAGGCCCTTCAGATGCCATCTTTTGTTGGCTATTTGTCTCATCCTGCAAAGTAGAAAACTTTGCTTTGGAAAATTGAAAATATTTAAATCAGCCCCGAGATTATCAATGGATAAGGAGGTGACTGTTTCAATTTATTAATTCTTTGATTTGAGAATATGTCACTTGAGAAATTTAGATATTTAATTATATGAATGTGAACCATTAAAAGTGTGGTTTCCAGACACAGGTGTTTTATTGGCTAAGTGATTGTTAATGGGATAAAATAAAAAAAGAATAAAATTTATTCTTAACTTACTAATCAAATGTAGATATTGATTCTAGTACAAAAACCTAAAGATAAAAATCCAGTGAGTTCTTAACACTGCAAGAAGAAACAGTGAGCAGATTACTCGATATATTTAAGGGCTCCAACATACCATAAAAATCACATTATTTTTGATTTTAAAAAAAGCAATGTCCTCGCTGCAACTATTCTTTCATCACATTCTTTCATCAAGAATCTATCCATGGCCCTTTACACTTATGACAATTCTTTGGTCATTCAGAATGGAAAACTAGACACATAGAACCTGTATACATGCAAGAACATCTCTAAGGGTAGGGTTGCATCTTTTGCCAAGTGAAATAAGAGGGGACATTAAAAGAATAATGGGCTACATCTAGAACCATATAAAAGCCCCTTGCCAGAATGATAAGGAGCCGGGGTGGGATTTAACTGGTTCGGGCCAGTTCGGGCGAACTGGATATTAAATTTACACCTGGTTCGCTGAACTGGTAGTTGAACCGACCAGTTGGCCCTACTCACCCCTCCCCTCCCCTCCCAGGAATTTCCATGAGGCCTGTTTTGGATGCAGGTAAGTGGGTCCAGGCAGAGGCTTTGGGAGGGCAAAAACCGGCCCTCCTGGAAGTTCCAGAAGTCCAGAAACAGGCCTGTTTCCATCTTCCAGAGAGCCTCTGGAGCCCAGGGGAGGCTGTTTTCGCCTTCTCAGAGGCCTGTGGGAAGCTTCTGGATTCTGGGGAAGGCACAAAATGGCTCTCCCGGAAGTTCTGGTAGGCCACGCCCACCCAGCAGCCGGGCAGAGAGTCGGTTGTTGGGATGTTTGCATCCCACCCCTGGACAAGCTTCAATTGTACAGGTAAGACAGCTAAATAGAAGTGATTGGTTCTGAGGACGCGACTCCATTTGCTGAGCCAGGAGAAGTCACCCTGCTGTGGATGTGGATTTTTGCCCAGTGAAAGTCTCACGGAAGCGACCTCCTCTTCCTATCTCAGCACAGACTCGTTTTCATCTCCCCGGGGTCATGCTCTGGCAAACATAATGACTTTCATCTGAGATACATCCAATTTGGTCACAGCTGGGGAAATATTAGCTTGTTCCTATTTATTGAGTAGCTGTCTGGATTTATGCAGACATCTGGGTTGAATTAAGCAAGCAACTGAAGTGTAAACTCTTCTCTGCCCCCTCCTGTGCAAGCTTTTTATGTCTGGCCCGATAGTTTCATTCCCATCTCGCTGCCCAGATCTGGGCCATTCTGCCATCTCTTTTCCCACCGACTCAGTCAAGCTATTTACATAACCCAGGACAAGGAGAATCATTTGAATCATTTTAAACTCACGTTTACATGGCTCCAAGACATTTTGCTCTTTGGCACTGTTAGGCCACTGAGACATTAGAAAATTCAGATAACGAAATAAAAAACTAAAGATAAAAATCCAGTGAGTTCTGAACACTGCAAGAAGAAACAGCGAGCAGATTACTCGATATATTTAAGGGCGCCAACATACCATAAAAATCACATTATTTTTGATTTAAAAAAAAATCCATTTCCCCACTGCAACTGTTTAAATTACCCAACCGTTATACAGTAGCTAGGGGTATTCTTTTAAGAATGTCTCTTCAGATAAAGCTTAATTTATTAATTAAATTGCACTTGATTAGTTGTCACTGGAGGAAAAGCCATGTATAATATTTTACTATTAATTGAACATATGCATATAGAATACACATTATAAAAACAAGGATAGATTTATACGATGATTTACTATAAAGATGAATTCCCATTCTGAACAACTCTGAACAGCAATCTGGATGCATGTAAACATGAAAGAATGTATGACAAATTACAATTAGAAAAACAGAAACAATTACACAGACACACACACACACACAGAGCACAACTTTTCTTATATTGATGGTGCTTTTATATAAAAATGTCATAACGGAAACAGCTCTGATACAAAAAGGCTGAAATGGTTCAAAAGATTATATTTTTACAGAATGGGACAACCCGCCACAACCAACTCACTGTGGCCAACTCGCTATGGGATAATTCAACAAATACAAAAATTAAATTAATTTTGATGGAACAGTGGCTAATAATAAAATAAAATCAATCCAGAAATAGACTTACAATAATTTTGACGACAACATGTTCATCAATAATAAAAGTAGCTGAATAAAATGATTAACACAGTATTGAATTGTCCCATGGCAAATTATGTCTGTGACAAATTGTCCTAGACCCAATTTTTTATAATATTTTTTCTTGAGAAGCTTAATATAGTCCATATGGGGGTCTTTCCTTATATTGTCCTCATAATAAAAACCATGGTATGTATGCATGCATGTATATAATAGATTTTTATAGCCATTCAACTTGCAAATTGCAACTTTGACTGACTAGTGCTGGATTAAAACCAAACTATAAAGCAACAAGATGCAAACAACAGAAGGAAAAGAAGCTGACGCCAACCCTCAATCAGTCAATTTCCTGCTATGACTGTTTCATCCAGCACCCTTGTGCAATGCCTGGGGGAAAGACCTTCTGCAAGGCCAACAGAGCCAGGATTATTTGAATCTTGGAGCAGAGGTATGTAGCTCCAAAGGGCAGGCAGGCACCATGACAGAGAAGGCACAACTGCTGGGTCCCATAAATGACTCTGTTTTGTAGGAAAGGCTTGGAGCATATCTAACCCGTTGGATTCTATGAGATTGGCAGACTTAATAGGTGATCCAGCAAGTAGCCCAAGACTGTGCCATGTCTGTCTGTCTGTCTATCTCTCTCTCTCTCTCTGTCTCTCTCTCTCTCTCTTAACTCTCTCATCTCTTTCTCTCATCTACCTACAGTACCTACTTACCTGCATCTATCATCTACCTATCTACCTATCATCTATCTACCTACCTACCTACCTACCTACCTACCTATCTAATCTCTCTCTCTTCTCTCTCTGTCTCTCTCTCTCTCATCTCTCTCATCCAGCTATCTAGTTCATAACTCAATAAACTCCTTGGTCAACTGGCAATATGGGTTCTTCTCTCCCCATTCAATGCTGATAAAAGATGTGCCATGCCAGGTCAGTTCATTTATGGCTGATTCAAATTCCTTTCACATGACATTTCCGCATGAGCAGATTTAATCAGCTGGATCTTCCCCACACTGTTGATCACCAAACTGGGAGGTCTGTTTTCTTCAAAAGAGAAGAGACAGAGAGTGAAAAGTTAGGATACTCCTCCAGAAAAAGCCTTAAGCATCTTCCATGCATAGACTTGCCAATTTTTATTCTTTTATCTCTTCTTTTGTTCTAATTTTGATACATTGTGAACTGCCCATAATGTGGACAGATAAACCTGGTTTTAAGTTATTAGCCAAGCATTCATTCAATAGATTACAGTATACTGAAGTCTTTATTTGCTACACAGACAAATAACCTCATGAATTTGAAATAGTGCAGGACATTCTAAATCTCTGCTGGGCTGCTGAATTGCAATTTTCAGAGCGCAAGCCAGATTTTTCTTGCTTGCTGCTAGTAAGTATATTTAAGCATATCGTAGTACACTTATATATTTATATACATTGTAAGGGAGATACTGTAACCATATGTAATGCAGTCAAGTCTCTTTTCCCCTACTGTGATACTGCCCGGCTGCAATACTGTGGAAATACCTTCATATCACTGTTTAGTCCATTAGTATGTCAGATTTATATAGCGTGCTTTGTGACATCACTGGAAAACTAGACTGCTCGCTGAAGACCATGATATGGTGGCATGCAACTCTTTTGGAACAAACAAATGTCAAAGAGCAGAATATCCCATTTTTCAGCAAACAGAGAAAAAAATGAAATAAGAAGAAATTTTCTGATATTGAGAACAATTAATCAATGGAATAGCTTGCCTCCTGGAGTTGTGAATATTCCATCACTGGAGGTTTTCAAAAACCAACCAGACAACTGTTTGACTGGGATGGTATAAGGGGCAAGAGGTTGGATTAGAAGACTTTCGAGATCTCTTACATCCCTATGAGATTCTGTGTTCTACGAAGCTCTGCTGTCAACTTTCAGTCAGCTGATAACAATGGACTTATCTACCCCCTATAAAATATGCAAAGACCATAGTTGGGGAGATAATTCATTCCTTTGTAACATTCATTCTATCTTCAGTATTTTTGGACCGTTGTGTGGGGTAAGAAAAGAACTTTTCTAACTTTTGAAACTGAGATACCAGAGAAAGCAAAAGCAAAAAGATGGATGCTCTTTGTTCAACTGCTTAGCTTCCAGCATGCTGAGGAATCAAGGTAGTCTTACTTCTTCAGGGAGACTCTGCCAACCGCCTGGGAGTCCCACAATGCCCCAAAGGCATCCATTCACAATCTTCACAGGTTTCCTTGGTAACAGCTGTTACTAGTTTTCCACCAATCAATGGCATGCTGGACCGGGGGAGTCAGTGTCCTATATAAAGAGTCAGACAGATTAGCCTGCTCAGTTGAGGGCTTATTCCTTCTGTGGACCTTCGCCAGGAGAAAAAAAAGCCATGGCTAAAGGGCTAGGGACCCAGCAAGCTGCACCCCGGCGATGGGTCTGCTTCTTGGCTGCCCTGTCACTGCTGTGTCTGGCTGTCCAAGCAGGTAAGAGGAAAGGCTTCTGAGAAGGGACACTCCAGGTGAACTTGCTGGGCTTGGTGGTGATGGAAATGTGGTATGGGGGTCACATTTTGTGCATGGTATGAGTGAGTGTGGAAACACCAAAAGAGCTAGAACGGGGAATGTTTGTGGCAGAATATCAGAATCAACAAAGGCTTTTCTAAGGGGTGCTGACCAAAAGTGTGTAATGCATTTATAATAGATTTTGTTAAAAAAAATCAAATATTGCAGCCATAGTTTGTCATATAACTTCAGCATGAGGAAATAAGAGGGAATGAGTTGGCCCCTTCTTTTCCACAGAAAAGCCTTCCACACTGCTGATTCCAAGGTTAGAAAAGCGCTTCGCTCATATTCAAGAGCCCAAGAAGTCGTGATCTTGCTCTCTAACTATTAAAGCTCCTTGAGAAAGCAATACTCTCAAATCAAACTAATGTGTGTGGTTTGAACACTGTCAAGAGGGCTTCAGACCTAACTCAAACAGAGTGAGGATTCTCACAGCTTTGAAACTCTGGCCCTTTCAGTTTTCATCTAGCAACTTTACTTGGTCTTTAAACTCTGATTCAACAGGACTGTACTGGAAAGAGAATACATGCCATGGTATCCTATTTGTCTTCACAACAGCCACTTGGATTATGGCTGAAATAGAAAAGGGGGTTTCAACAACAATAACAAGCAACACGGACAACCTCTGGTACCTTTTCGCTGCTGGATTTCATGTTGTTCAGAAAGGCTGCATCTTTTACTTTCAATCTCCAATTCAGCTTGATCAGAGCGGGCTTTGTTTCTAGAGGATCCTTTAGCTGAGATAAAGATTCAATATATAAAAGTTATATAAAAAATAGCTCCCAATCGTGAATTTTTATCCCATTCAAAGTCCCATCCAGCTGGATTATAAACTGATTCAACTCAGACTTTTCCTTTTGATTTTCTTGCACCCTTCAGTGCCAATTGAGTCTGGTCTAGATTATATATATATGTGTGTGTGTGTATGTATACGTATACGTATATCTGTATCATCTGTATCTGTATCTGTATGCGTATGCATATATATATGCATATGCATATGTGTATGTATATGTATATATATATATATGTATATGTATATGTATAAAATCTAGACCAGACTCAATTGGCACTGAAGGGTGCAAGAAAATCAAAAGGAAAAGTCTGGGTTGAATCAGTTTATAATCCAGCTGGATGGGACTTTGAATGGGATAAAAATTCACGATTGGGAGTTATCTTTTGACTGCATTTACGGTGCTACCACCTATGTGAAAAGAAAGATGATATTGGGAATCTGTGTTTTTGTGTTTTAACTCATTTTTTGACATTCTAAATGTTAGCTATTAGCACTTAGTGGCAAGCCAAAGGCATGAACTTTCTTCAGTTGTGATCCAAGAGGTGGGGTGAGGTGGGGAGTTGGAAGTCAGGGTTAAAATGAGAAAAAATTGCCTCATTAATATGGTCTGCCTCACTGCGAAACAAGCATATCAATTTCCCACAGCTGAATGCAGGAAGCACCTCACATAAATATCAAACAATTCTGGAATACGGATATGCGGAAGCCCACAAAAAGAGCTGCAGAGAGATGGACAACATGAGGCTGAAAGAGGACATTGTGTGGTTGTTTCTCTTCTCCTCTCTGGAGCGAAGAGTCACCAGTGCTTTTCTTTTTGAAGTGATTTCAACAAAAGTGATGTTTTCCTCGAAATAACCACATTGGGTGCCTTTCTCTTTAAGAAGCCTTTCCCCACCCCACAGTGCCTCTTTGTCCTTGAGAGAGAAAGAGAGAGAGAGAGAGAAAGCAAGTTTGTTTACTTGCCTTTGAATGTTACCCTTTTATCCCTTGCCCAAGTTGGACTGGACACAAGAACCAAGCCAAGAGATGGAGATTGTGAACAGGCTCAGCTTTCTTTCCTCCAGGGTGGCCCTGAAACACATCTTGGCTCGGGGAAAGCATTTATTCATTGGGTGGCAGTGATTTCATTGAGTTAATGATGGCTAGGGAGCCAGAGGCTCAGATCCAACTCCCGAGAGTCGTAAGCGCCTGCTCTGACACCCTCAAGGAATATCAGGAGTAATTGCCATCCTCATGAGCTTGAGACCATCTGGTGTTATAGAGTGTAATTATAAAAGGCCATCCCAAATTGCAATAAGCTAGACACGGTGAGCCACAGTCAAACCCTGAATGTGCCAGTCGTCTGGGTTCACTTATATAGATCTAGAAAGGATTACAGCAGTTTCTCAAAGGACAGGAATATAGGTTGCATAAATAAGTGTAAATAAGAACCTAATGCTCATATTCTAAAGTCAATGAATTAAGCACATCCCTTGATTGGAGTCAACCTTGAGCATCTTTAAACACAGTCTTGTTTTGTGCACCAAATGAAGAGTCTTTCAAAGAGACTTTTTATCATATAATATAAATGGATAGTGTGCTATGAGATAGCCTTTCAAGCCCAGATATCATTTCTTTCTTTCCTGCCTTTGTTATTTTTATGAATAACTCAAAGTGGCAAACGCATCTAATCCTCCTTCCCTCTGCTCTTTTTCTCACTGTGAGGTGGGTTGGCTGAGGGACAGTGAATGGCCCAAGGTGGCCCTAGCTGGCTTTCATGTCTAAGGCAGGACTTGAACTCATGGTCTCTTGCTTTCTAGCCTGGTTCACGTCTATTTTTTACATCTGTCTCACTCCCTCCATCGATGATTACTTATCATAAACACACATATACTATGCATGCATACACATTTGCACCTTACATCAAATCAAGGATAGGTTGCTTTCTCCAAAGTCTAATGATTATTTCCTTAGAAAAAAACACAGTCGTCAGGAGAAATGCATAACCCAGGATTGTTCCTCTTAATTAACTCCAGAAAAAAGTTGTTGGTCAAACACTTGATTCCTCGTGATTCAGAAATCATTGTCAATATCCAATACAACAGCAATCCTTTCATATAAGCAAAGTGGTTATAAAAAGCTTTATGACAAGATGTTGCTTTGAGTCTTATATTATTCTGCAAATAATATTTCTCGTAGCTTTGAGCTAAGAGATTCTGAAATTGTAATGGATCTGAACAAGAGAAAAAACATCTATTCCTGATTCTTTGCACATGCAGAACCGATTGTAACTGTTTGATTTGTGTGTGCCTTTGAATCAGTGTTTACTGCTGGCAATTGACTGGCTTAATTCCTGCAGTTTTCTTGGCAAGGATTTTCAGAAATAATTTACCCTTGCCTGCTTTCCAGGGTTGAGAGAGAGGGACTGGCCCAAGGTTGCCCATATGACCTTGTGTGTAAAATAGGACTAGAACTTGTGGTCTCCTGGTTTCTAGCTGTTGCCCTAACCACTGGACCAAATTGGCTCTTTATCTGCTTGGTAAATGACAATAATAAGGAGCAGCATATCCTATGAAGACACTGCAAGCAGAATCCATCTTTGGGGCCCTATTATTCACTTACACCAATTCAAGTGGAGTTGTCATTGTCGCCCATCACCAGGAATCACTACCACAGAATTTCATAGCAGTGAGTGCACTCATAAACAGAGCAACATATCTAACAAAATCATTTCAAACTTTAGGTAAGGAAGCTATTCGGGTTATGAGCACTTTTAAAACTTTATTTATATGAAAGGTAGTGTGTAACCTTGATGGGCAATGTGGTGTTTCCCTGGTAATTATTCAAGCCACACTTAGAAGAATAGGAAGCTTGAGTGTGCAAATAAATTATGATGTAATGCTGGAGTCATTCCTTGCTTTTTCCCTTTCTGCTCTTTTCAAACCCTGTGGTTAACGTTCACATTGATTTTAGACAGAAGTAAACTGAGATCTGAGATTCCCAGAAGATCCTTTTCATGACCAGCAGGTTCTCTCCAGCCCCAATGGGTATAACTCAGCAGCAGGGTTCCCCATCATTTTGAGGCAAAAACACATGAATGGGCAGTGGAAACTATACAATTGTTTCTAACAACAAGGACCATAAATGCTGCCAAGCCCTGGACAAGAATCCTGGCTCTGTTTGGTCGATTCTGCCTTCCTCCAATGTGAAAGGAAACAAGTAAAAGAGAAACCTAGGGAGCAATTTTGTTTCTTTCCCTAACCCACAGATGGGTAGATGTTTGATGGCCCAGGGACCCCAATTAATGCTCATCAGTCCCCTAGACAAAGTAAATAACCATGGTTAGCTGGAAATGTAACTGAGAGTAATTACATTACTGTGTGTCAGCTGGTGCTCCATTCAAAATCCAAGAAAGAAATACTTAGACTTCTTTGATGAGGCAGGTGGTGATGAGGCTTCTGTCCGTTGACCTTGACATAGTTTGATAAAGAGTTGCAGCTGCGCAGAGCATAGATAGAAACCTAAGCAAGAATGTACCCTCACCCACCAGTTTATACAGTTCTGGTTTGTAACACCTAGAGCTCACTTCCCATAACCATCCCCCCCTCCTCCCCACCCCTGTTACTTATGACAGCCAAAAGATGCAAAAAAGCAAAGGGAGAAAATCTTGAAGGCTGACACTGTGAAAAGCTTTCAGCCTCTACAGAATGTTTACCTTTCTGCTTAGCTGCATGGAGAGGGACCCTGGGTGGGTAGAATGCCACAGAGAAAAAAATATGCCATACTCTGTTTGTTTTCCCTCTTGCTTGCATAAAGTTTGGTGCAAACTGATTTGAATTTGCTAGGAGGATATGTAACAAAATCTGGTTGCAAAGATACTCTTAGCATCACACACTCTTGGCAAACTCCTGACTTGTACCAAACATTAATAACAACATGTCCCAGTTGCAATGCATTTTCTTCTGTCCTATTTTCCTGGTTGAATAATCTCACTGCCCATTCCTGCTATTTGATCCTGTCACCTGCAGTCCAGAAGGCAGATACCATCGGGGATCCCACGGTGGCTACCATCAACCACTCGCACTTACTGCTGAAGCGACTTCAAGAGCTTCTGCTCAATGGAAACACCAGTGACACCACCCTGAGGGTCCACACGGCTGGCTCTGATGAAATTAAAGTCTTCAACACCCACCAGCTGATGCTCAGCTTGCAAAGCAAGACCTTTGAGACTCTGTTGCAGAACCAGACTGTGCTTGATTTGCACGAGCCACCCGACAACGTGGCCCTTTTTGAAAAGTTCATTCGGTAAACCGGCGGTGGTGGCTTGCTCTCCATACAGAGAGAGGGAGGGAAACATTGTGGATTAGAATGTAGTATGTGAATTGTTTCCATGGTCTCCATACAAGTGGGGGCACTAGACTTCTGAAGGCAGAGTTTGTCTTTCAGATTTTCTTATGCATTTGATAGTTGTGTTAACTGTGCTAAAGTGAAACTAACCTTTAGAAGACCCTAACTGTTAGGTCCCACTGTTTTGGAGGGAAATTTAGAACATTTATATTTGGGTGGGCTTTTTCTAGTTCTATGATTGGTTAAGGCCAGGGGTGGGATTCAAATTTTTTAACAACCGGTTCTGTGGGTGTGGTTTAGTTGGTGGGCATGGCTTAGTGGTCATGTGATTGGATGAACATGGCTTGGTGGTCATGTTATTGGCTGGGCATGGCCAACTCAATATCACTCACATCGAGGCACGTATCTCTTCGCCTGGCCTCTCATGACTGTGGGGATGCTGCAACAGTCATAAGTGTGAAAAATAGTCATAAGACACTTTTTTCAGTGCCATTGTAACTTTGAATGGTCACTCCACACAAGCAAAGTACCAGCAAAGGAGGGGAAAAAACTCCAGAGACATTCCTGAGACAGGAAGTCTAGTCCTGCCAAGAATGTAATAAGGGTTAACAGAGAGGCAGTTTCTGTAAGCAACACCAGAATGTTTCCTTCCTGCCTTCCTTACAGGATTAGGCCAGTAATTTCTTCTAACCACCGGTTCTCCAAATGCTTAGAATGTTAACAACTGGTTCTAGCGAATAGGTGTGAACTGGTAGAATCCCACCCCTGGTTAAGGCCCTGTGAGCCTAGAGTATAAATCATAGGCATTTTCCTGCAGTTCCTCAGTTCCACTTTTGAGTCAATAAATGCTGTTGCAACTATGCTGGTCTGGTTCTTGCCTATTGAAGCCCACAACACAATAGATTTCTCTTCCTTGTACCTAATGAACTTGTTTTACATGACTTTGAATAAAACATTGTCAGTGATAAACAGGTTTGAGAACCAGTGGTGGGATTCTTTTTTTTTTTTACTACCGGTTCTGTGGGCGTGGCTTGGTGGGCGTGGCAGGGGAAGGATCCTGTAAAATCTCCAGTCAGAGGTGGTATTTGCCGGTTCTCTGAACTCCTCAAAATTTCTGCTACTGGTTCTCCAGAACTGGTCAGAAAACTGCTGAATACCACCTCTGTTGAGGACACTGCTTGCTAACATATGGAGGGCTTTTCTGCATAACCTAGGTATCACACCATCCTGCTTGTTCTAAGGGTTATAAACATAACAGTAGATTCAACTCAATCTCCTGGCCCATTATGAAATAGCACACACTTCCCTTAGCTCTTCCAGGGGTTCCCACCTTCCACTTGCTGTTTAAAACCTTTGAGGGGAGTCGTATTGATGTAAGCTTGGGATGTGGGCCTGTCTTCCTGTTACCCGCTTGAGATTTCTGCAAGCATTTTCTCTTGCTGGGTCATTTGTCACCATTTTTCAGTACTGTTCTCTTTTAGGCAGCATGGAAATTGGGACTCGTCTGCAAGTATCAAAAGATCACCTTTCCCGTTTCTATAATCAATTGAATCAAACCTGGCAGCACAACACTAGATTATTAGGGCTTAGAGATATGGCAGAAGATGTGGGGTAGGGTTGGGTTAGGGAAGCAGTTCTCTCCTTTAAATTTGGGGTTGCAGATCAGTTGGGAGAAAGGAAGTGAGATAGAAATGGCTCTTTAGCCACCACAGTAAAGCTGCTCTTGCTCGCTTAAGCCGAATAAGCACAGCAATATCGTTCACATGTGGATAGCTGGATGATTTTTTTTAAAAAAATGCCCACCAACGGACACACATTCAGATTTGATACTCATAAGAAATGCATACTACTTGCAATGCTGAATCAATTAGGGGATTGTGTAGATGGCTAAACAGATAGATCCCACTACCTCTTTTGTCCCCATTAAAAGGGAAGTTTTATTGTCAAATGTAAGCATGATGATGATTTAATTTGGCATGGAAAACAGATTCTCATTGCCTTCTTTCTCTAGGTATCTGTATTGTGGCGAGATCTCCATATACCTCCACGAAGCCATCCCACTTCATCGTCTAGCCAGTAAATACCACGTGTCCAGTTTGCAGCGAGGGATAGCTGAGTACATGAGGGGCCACTTGGCTTGTGAATCAAGCCAAGGGCATGTGGTGGGATGGTATCATTACGCAGTGGGGATCGGTGACAAGGCTCTGCAGGAGAGCTGCCTCCAGTTTCTGGCCTGGAACTTCTCTGCTGTCATGAGTAGCCCCGAATGGGCCTCTGTAAGCCTAGATTTGCTACTACTGTTGCTTGAAAGATCTGACCTGGTCCTCCAGAGTGAATTGGAGTTGTACGCAGGTGTAGAGAAGTGGGTTACCACATATCAGCCTGAGGACCCTGTAGTGGAGAAGATCCTGAGATCCTTGCGGTATCCTATGATCTCCCCCAGCCATCTTTTCCACCTGCAAAAACAATCTCCGGTGATGGTGAAATATTACAGCACTGTGCAAGATCTGCTCTTTCAAGCCTTCCAGTTCCATTCAGCTTCCCCAATCCATTTTGCCAAATACTTTGATGTCAACTGCAGTATGTTCCTGCCCCGTAACTACCTCTCCATCTCTTGGGGGTCCCAGTGGGTGATTAATAACCCTGCCCGAGATGATCGTAGTACCAGTTTCCAGACCCAGCTGGGCCCCAGCAACCATGATTCTGCCAAGAGAGTGACATGGAACGTCCTCTTCTCTCCTCGCTGGCTCCCAGTGAGCCTGCGTCCTGTCTATTCCGACTCGGTCTCTGGAGCCATCCAACCTATCAGAATCGAGGATGGACGCCCCCGTCTGGTTATCACTCCAGCCACCACCAGCTCAGATTTTGCAGGTGTCAGTTTCCAGAAGACCATTCTGGTGGGCGTCAGGCAGCAGGGCAAACTCTTTGTCAAACACACCTATAACTTCCATCAGAGCACAGATGAAGTTGCCGATTTCCTGATATATGCTGACTTGCAAAAGCGCACCTCTGAATACCTGATTGACAACTCTTTGCATTTGCATATCATTATCAAACCCATCTACCAGTCACTCATCAAGATCAAAAAGTAGAAGGAAAACGGGGGAGAGACAGCTGGACACATCATGGGGAGAGAACCATTGGTTGCATTGGAGGATAGCAGTGATTCTACCATTCAGTATTACAAGTGTTTGGCATAGGCTCTGCATCTTTCAAGTCCTATTGGCCCTGTTGGAGAAGCTCTGAGAATTCGTTGTATAAAACAAGCTTCCTTTGACTGGAAACTTTTGTTTTCCAGAGGCAATTAATCAGGGAGCAGAGGGTTCTCTCGTCTGTCTTCCCATTGTTTTAACTTAAGGTTTTATCTCCCTTCAATCTGAAGAGACTCAGGTAGAACTGGAGATTCTCATGGTGCTTTGGAATAAGTAATTATCGAAGATGTCACATAGGATTTCTTTTGTCTTTCTCACCTAATTAGAAGTTGCCTTATGTTCCCTTTGTTTCCCCGTTAGGTTTTGTTCCCTTGAGATAATTACAGACTGATATCTTGGCAGAAAAACCTCTTTGGAATTAAATTGAAATTCGTATGTGGCTATTCTTCTGTCTTTGCTTCCTCTAGTTCTTTATATACCAACTGCAGGGAATTTCCATGAAGATAATGTTATGTGTGAATTAGGAGTACTTCCCTGAACCAGTTGAACATGGTTCTACAATATGGATTTCTGCTAGTTTTGTATTGGAAGTGTTATTGTTACTCGGCCTATTGTCACCTTAGTCATGGAGATTCTGCAGATTTTTGAAACCATATAAAGTTCTGCAAAAAATAAAAAATCCATTGCTTGTCCTACGTCTACTGCTACTGTCCATAGCTTTTTAAACAAAACTTAAATGAGTTATTTTGATATTGGAATTGTCTTATGTGGAATAGGAATGGTAACTAAAATATTACAAAACTGGTTGAAAAACAGGCCGTAAAAGCCATTATATTTTTACAATCTGTGTGATCAAGTATATGTGAATTAATGGCCGGACAATATCTTTTCAGCACTCTGCAAATCAGAAATGTCTGATCATGGCTACTACCAAAAGGAAAATGCAGATTAAGATCCCCATTTCCTAATACCACATATTTCAAATAATCATAAGCAACTACTGCAAAAAATGTAGTGGACACCATCCTGCTTTAAAAGGTTTAAGATGCCAATTCTTAAATCACCATTTAAAAATGGAAAATGTGACAAGTTAGTCTTCTCACCATCATTGTTCCTTCTCTGTAATATTCTCCTAATTAGAGTACAAGACAACATGGCTAGATGTTGCCTGTGGGACCTTTTAAACACGACAAATCTAAAAGGGAGTTGGCAGTGTATTTCTTGACTGTTGGTTTTACAGTTGACCATCAGTCCTAAAAGGCCATCCACTCTTTCAATTCTTCACTGTTGTATTTGTTTGATTTTTTTAAATATTTAATCATTATTTCACTATGCTCCTTGGCTTTCATTACTAGGGGTCCCAGATCCTTTGCATTGTCTATCATTAGAATAATGCCACCAGCATTGTACTTGAATTTCAAAATCATGCTCACCTTCTTCAATCCAGCCTCTCCTGAAATATATTCAACATGTAAGTTGTCTATATAAAGAGAGAATATACAGCGTTGTCTGTCTCAAGTCTTTAAGTCAGTCTTTCATTACGTTCCATCTGGACTGTGGCTTCCTATCCTATATTTAAATTTTACATGAAATGTTCTGGGATTCTTATTTTTCTAAAGTCATCCCACAGCTTCATATGGTCAACACAGCTGAGGATCTTTCTGAAACACATTGACTTCTTGGAATTCTTTCCAAGTTTTCTTAAAAATCCCGTGTGCATCAGCAATAATGCCTTTCTAGAAAAAAAAAAAAAGCTTGAATATCTGGCATTTTCCTTTCCATGTACAGCTGTAATCTGTGTTGGATGATCCTAAGTATTATATTGCTAGCATGAGAAACTAAAAATTTACACACTGTGTGCTTTCAATCTGTTAGCCACTGGGTCATTCCCTAAGATTTGCTGGCACAATTTGGCTAGAACATCTATTAATTCTTCTTTGCTTGCATTATTTCTACAGATACTCCATTAATCCCAGAAGCCTTCTAATTTGGTAATGACAAAAGTGCTAAACCAACTTCATCTTCCAGTGATAGAGATTTTTGTAAAATCAGAGTATCTTTTAGCAACAACAATATTTTTACTTGGTAAATGACCAGCAACATAAAACAATAAATAGGGAACAGAAGATAACAAATACAATTAGGATCAACAAAAAGAAATAAGTACAATTATATATTGGCAACTATAAAGTAAATCAAATATGGTATACTCTGAACATCCCTATTACAATAATATTTATTTATATAACACTAATAAATCTAATATATTAAAGTTATACCCTAAACTAAATGTCCTCTAAAATAATTTTAAAAATAACTGAATAAGATGAAGAAAATAGAAGTCTTTATTTCTTTAATTGGCTTTGCCTTATTAACACCATGAGAGCATAAAATTTGACTACTGCACGAATGGTGGCTAGATTTGAGTCTTATAAGATGTGTTGGATGTTGACAACCTTAGTATGCAGAATTTCAGAATTTCCATCTTTGATCTTACTTGAACCAGTTGCTGTTGTCCATTGACTTCCTTCAGCATGCGAATTTGAGAGTTGGAAGATTTCTTGGATGACTTTGTTTTCTGTGTCTGTTTTTAATGTCTTTATTTGTATAGTTGTAATACTATTTCTTGTCTCTTCTTGTAAATCTTCACATTTTATTTTTTTATTCCTTCTTGATGTCTTCATATTTTGAGTCTGTATCCAATTCTATACTATTTGAATTCACTGATATGTAAGACATCAATGTGTAGTTGAGGTGCTTAATCTTTTACTATGTTGAGTTCCCCTGTGTTTGCGCTTCTTAAATTCCATGTTTCCGCTGTAATCTTGCCTTTAGCACAGCCAGCTTGTCTAGTGACTCAATGACTGGTAATACCCAGTGGACTTGGTGACTGAACCTAAATACCATCATAGCTAACAGAGAAAAGTAAACAGACCCAATTGGGGGAAAAATGAAGTCAGATTTTTAAAATAAATAAATAAATACAATGGGAAAGTTGGAATGACAAAAGCAGCTGGATCCCGTTCAATCATCAAAATTAGGCAGAAAACAATCTAGACGGGGATTATGTATATCCAAACCCGTGCAAGATTGTTGTAAGCAGATCTTTCTGATGGCATAATATGAAACATCACGCATATTGCAAGAAGGGAGTCCTTGCCAATAAAAACTACAAGACTGGAAGGATTCTGGAAATACTCTGGAGCTGGTATTGAATATTGTTTGCCGTCTCACTTTACTTACAGACAGATACAAAAGCCAACATTTGGGATTCCATCACATTTTTTAAACCTCCTTGCTGAAAAAAGCAATAGTAAATTGTTTTGTAAAAAGACTTTTCTTGCATCCAAGCCAGTTAACAAGATCATCTAAAAGTCCTTGAAACCCCAAAGGTTAAATATATCCCAGTCATGAAATTAAGGATGGTGCTTGATTGACAACACAACAGCCCCCCTGGTAGGGAATCCTGGCCATAGGCAGACATAGTGTGTTTTCAAATGTCCACAAACCTTTTCCTCTGAAGGTCACAGCAGAAAGGTGCTAGTTAAATATATTGAAATTATTGCCTTGGAATGATGCAAAAGCACAACAAATCTTGTTGCCAGGTTACCCCAATGCTGTGGCACGGTACCCTCCTTCAACACGTAGTTTAAAAACTAAAGAGTTGTGCTTGCACAAGAACCAATCTTCCACGTCTGTCTTGGTATTACAGCACTGGATATATCCGGTGGCAGCCTTCTGTGTATCCATCGAGACAACTACTCATTTCAATTTGGGGGGACCCAGAGTCCTGGAGATTAAAAGTTTTTTGTGGCCAGAAAATCCTCTTGGCAGCAACCCTGCAACCCACCAGGCAAACTTGTAGGCCTTCTGTTCAAGTTAGCTATTTCCTTCCAATGGTTTTAACCACAGTGCCTGGCCCTGACTGGCCCATCAAATGCTACCTTCCTGGAGCATCTCAACTTCTCTGTGCCTTTCAGAGCTTAACATCTTCGGTTCTTCCCATCTTTGCCAGAAGGGTTTGTCCCATTCACTGGGACATAGTTCAGGCGTGGGGGGTACTGACTGGGCTGGCTTATTTTCTTGGAGATGCCACTTTGATGGGAAGCAACAGAAAGAGAGGATGCCTCACTGGGACCTGAAGGAATAAAACCAGAAATGAAAAAGAGGACAATCATTAGGGCTTGTACATGGCTACATCGCAAGCTGGGGAATAATTGCACAGCCCCTTAACAGTTATCATTCTGTAGGCTGGCCTTCAGTACAGCTGTGCCATCCCCCAAATCAATCAATCAACCAACCAACCAATCAATCTCTCTTTTCCTTCCTTCCTTCCCTCCCTCCCTTCTTTTTTTTTGTATTCAAGTCACTTCTGAGAACTGGACTAATCCCTGCAATTTTGGGGCCAATGTTTTTTCATCAGTGGCTTGCTATTACCTAATATTGAAAAAGAGAGCAACTGACCCAAAGTCACCCATCTGACTTGGTAACTCAAGCAGAACTACAACTCATAGTCTCTCAGTTTCTAGTATTAACCACTACACCACTACAACTGGCTTTCAAACTGCAAAGGCAGGCTGGTAATGATTCCAGGCCTATTGCTCTACAGTAAAAGAGGCAGATCTAGTATGTGCAACTGCAGGATAGACTTCTTCTGTAAGGTGGTGACGCTCAAATTCTCTGCTGCAGTCAACAGAGACTTTGCTGCATTGAGGAGCAGTAACAGAAAATTGTGATTTGGTTGATGCTCACATACCTGAAGAAGGCTGGGCTTGCAGAAGCCTCACTCTGGACAACTGCACAGCAGGTTTTCCAATGCTGCGGATACTGTGCATCCCTCCTGCTGCCATTATCTTGTGCTCAGAACTGCTTTCCAGGGGATGTCGGCGAGAGGCATTGTTCTTTGGGCCCTGGAGCTGCCGGGGGTGGGAGAAGAGATGAACACACGGGTTCAAAGGGTATTTCATGGATAAAGAAATTCTTTTACACCACCATGAATTATTAAAGCACAGGTTAGGCTCCATAAACCAAGAAAAACACCCTGGGTTTCTTTTAAGCAGTTTGCTTTATTGTTCCTCACCTATAAACAGAAATTTTGCCGAACTGAAGCAGCAGACTACTTGCACCATTAAATATAAACTCTGAGAACTCCTAGGGAGGAGCTGTGTTTAACATACTTCTTCCCCACCAAACGATCTGGAATGCAACCTCACCCTCCCAGGAATTCAGACCATGTTCCACCACACCTTCCGCAAGGAAGATCTGAGTAGGAGGATTTAGTACCAGTTGGGAACAGAGACAACTATCCACTGGAGACGGTGTGCCAATCAGGTACTATGAAAGACCAGTTTTCTGATTTGGTATAAAAAGGAAAAGTGATCAGGATTGATGGATTGATTTTTCTTGTACAGAAGGCATTCCTGGCCTGCTTCCTCCTTAAATGCATGACTACCATAGCCCTATCCAGTTGATCTTACTAAGGACTGTGAGGGATATATATTAAGAATTCTGGTAGGAACCAGTTCAGAATCAGTTATTCTATGAATCCCGTGCTTCTGATTTGGTATTGCTGTGCTTTCAATTGCATCCACACTTGTCATTTATAGTTCCCAAAGTTCCCTATGCTGATCTCAGGAGAACTATAGCCAAGGAAGGAGCAACAACACATTGCGCTAATAATTCATTAATGTAGATTCGAGAATCTCAGAATTGAGGGAACCTCACATGAGCCTTTCACAGCCTGCCTTTGGGAGAAAACAGAGAAAGCTTATTACCTCTTCGGACATTTAATCAGGAGTTTATTAGGATAAATAACTAGCTTAGGGTACAGGATAGCATCACCATAGTGGGACAAGGATTCACTCAAAGGCTTATGGACCTTGAAGACGGCAGCAAAAACTCAGCACTGGGATTCTGGGGTGATCTTGTAGCCTGCTAATGAATTCCTATTTATGCCTGATTATAGCAGAAGCAATCTGATGGGAGTTAGCTTTGGCCCTCAGCTATTGAAGGGAAACCACCAGGATACATTCACAGTCTGTCATAGCTTCTGCAACCCAACAAGATAGATCCAGACTTCAGAGGACAATTAGAACTGCAGAAAAAACAATTGTTACCAACCTGTCTTCCACTGAGGACCTGTATACTGCACGAGTCAAAAAGAGGGCTGTAAAAATATATATAGACCCCTCACATCCTGGACATAAATTGTTTTCAACTCCTACCCTCAAAAGGACGCTATAGGGCACTGCACACCAGAACAACTAGACCCAAGGACAGTTTTTCCCTGAACGCCATCACTTTGCTAAACAAATAATTCCCTCAACACTGTCCAACTATTTACTAAATCTACATTACTATTATTATTAATCCTCCCATCCTTCCTTTCACCCATCCTCTCCCACTTTTGACTGTATGACTGTAACCTTGTTGCTTGTAACCTTACAATTTATATTGACTGTTTCCTAGTATGATTTGATTGCTTATTGTACCCTATGACTGTTATTAAGTGTTGTACCTGATGATTCTTGACTCTTGACGAATGTATCTTTTCTTTTATGTATACTGAGAGTATTTACACCAAGACAAATTCCTTGTTTGTCCAATCACACTTGGCCAATGAAGTATTCTATTCTATTCTATTCTATTCTATTCTATTCTATTCTATTCTATTCTATTCTATTCTATTCTATTCTATTCTATTATTTCTATTCTATTCTATTCTACTCTACTCTATTCTGTTATGTTCATAGTGTTGGAATAGGGGAGACGTACCCTCTGGCCAGTAACCTCGAACGAGCGCGAGCGCCGTTTCCTCCTCTTTGCCTCTAGGGATTCTTCCCTCTTCTCAGGTTTCTTGCTTCCCTTTTTGTTAACCCGGAGCCAGGGGCCAAGGGAGCATCTGGGGACGTGTCTCCCGGGAGCAGTATCCCCGGTGCTGCTTGACAGATTGTCCTCGCTGACGGCATGCTGCAAACTGGGGCTGGCAGGCTGGCAGAGGGCAGGAGTTCCCCGGCAGGGGGTGTCCTCACTTTCACTCAGAGAGTGGAGGGAGAGGTTGCTGAGCTCCTTGGTTGGCTTCAGCAAGTTCAGCCTGTCGGATTCCAGCACCCGTGAACGACGCCGGGCGGCCTTCACCGCAATGTTTTTGATGCCGCTCGCCATCTCCTTGTGCTCTGCCAGGGGTGGAAGCATGTGGCAAAATTAAAAAGCTTTTTCCTGGGTTCCCTTTGCTAGAGTGCCAGTGGCCCAGCAGGGAAAAGGGTGGAAAACACCAGAAAGCAGCTTACTCTCTTTTCAAAATGGGAGGGAGGCCCTCATTGCATTGTCTTTTTCTGATCTGATGGGTAACTGGGAAGAATGAGGAGGCAGTAATAGTTCCCAGTAAGTAAATAAAATAGGCCTCGGTTGCAGCTGTTAGCAGCCTTACTACTTATGGAGCTCCATGAGGAAACACAGAATCTTTAAATATTTAATCATAGGATTTGCATCCTGCCTTTATTTCGTACAACTTGAGGCGGCATACCTAATGCCCTCGACTATTTTTCCCGCCAATTTTTCCCACATGAGCTGAGAGAGCTGGCTTTCACTTCTGAGCGAAGACTAAAATTCATGATCTCCTTGTTCCCAGTCCACCATTTTAACCACAATGTCAATCTGGCTCTCAATAAATATCTAGCATCCGCTGCATCTCACCTCCATGCATCAAGATGCCATCAGAACAATGATCGCTGCTGTCAGGGGAAGAATTCTGGTGGCTGTCCAGGATAAGCAAACTCTCCTGGGGTGTATACTAAGAAAAGAAGAAAGGAAGCAGGACAGGTTAAATTATATAGAGCTGTGATGGCGAACCTATGGCACGTGTGCCAGAGATGACATGCAGAGACCTCACTCTGGGTGCGCGAGCCATCGGCCCAGCTTAGCTCCGATGCACATACATGCATGCATACATGAGGGGGGGGTCGCAGGCACATGTGTGGGGGGTTGCGGGAGGGTCACACACGCATGCCCGAGGGGTGGGGCGCATGTGCAGGGTGCAGGCTTTGGGAACTTGGTGCCGAAAAGGTTAGCCATCCCTGATATAGAGCTTCCCTGAATGTTACAGCTCCTCTCCTAGTGTAGTGGTGAGATCGTGTTTGAGTAAAACCACCGTATGCACTTCAAGCCCCCTTTTCTCTACTCTTCATACCTCTTGACTGATCATGCCATTGACATGGATAGGGGGTGGAGTCATCACTGCTGAATGCTTCATCTGCCGAGCCCGAGGACACGCCTTGAACACCTGAACTGCTTCACTGTTGAGAAAAGAAAGGTAACTTTCTGCTGATTCCAGCACAGCACTAGGCAAACAGACTTCACGTGGCTCCAAACTCTTTTTATGGGCTGCTGAGCCTCTATTCCAACAAATTTAACTGGCAAGACTGCCAAAAATCAACGGCAGGCTGTTTTTAAAGGGAAAACACCCAACAACTGTGCTATGGGTTCTAACAAGGCTTGAAAGAAATAACTCCCAAAATAAAATGCCTGTCCTGTATGCGTATGCGATGCAGTCCTATCCACTGGACATCTGATCTGAATTAGATCTGATGAATATCCTGATTGTGACTGAATGGGCTTGCATTGTTGTTGTTGTTGTTGTTGTTTTCTAACCCATTCTCCCAACCTTCAAACAAGAGGAAGTGGTCTTCATGACAAACCATTTTCAGAGAAGTGGGGATGCATATGGGTCGGGGTAGGAATTGAAAAGTAAGGAAGAAAACATTCAAGACTGAGTAAGAGCAGGGAGGCCGAGAACAATGACGGAGAGAAACATGGAAAAGAAAGGAACGAGCATCTAAGAAGATGAAAGACAAAACGGGGAGGAGAATATCTACTGTGAGCACTGAACGCCTGTGGAAATTTACACTCTTAACTTGGTTTTGGTTCCAGGAAGCCTTTTACTCCTGAGTTTTCAAAGATCCACTTTTCATACAGAATAGAATAGAATAAACAGAGTTGCAAGGGACCTTGGAGGTCTTCTAGTCCAACCCCCTGCCTAGGCAGGAAACCCTACACCCCTTCAGACAAATAGTTATCCAACATCTTCTTGAAAACTTCCAGTGTTGGGGCATTCATAACTTCTGGAGGCAAGTTGTTCCACTGATTAATTGTTCTAACTGTCAGAAATTATTCCTTCGTTGCTTCTCTCTATGGTTTATTTCTACCCATTGCTTCTTGTCCTGCCTTCAGGTGCTTTGGAGAATAGCTTGGCTCCCTCTTCTTTGTGGCAGCCCCTGAGATATTGGAACACTACAGGTAGTCCTCAACTTACAAAAGTTCATTTTATGACTGTTCAAAGTTACAACAGCACTGAAAAAAGTGACGTAGGACCATTTTTCACACTTACACCATTGCCGCGTCTCCACAGCCACGTGATCAAAATTCAGATGCTTGGCAGCTGACTTGAATTTACGAAGGCTACAGTGTCCCTGGGTCAATGTGATCCCCTTGTGTGACCTCCTGACAAAGGAGGTCGACGGGGAAAACCGCATTCACTTAACAACCCTGTTACTAATTTATCAACTTCAGTGATTCACTTAACAGCTCTGGCAAGAAAGGTTGTAAAATGGCCCAAAACTCACTTCAGAACAGAAACTCACTTGGCAAACAGAAATTTTGGGCTCAACTGTGGTCGTAAGTTGTGGACTACCTGTATTCTGTGGTGGGTGATCCATCCAAATTGGGAAGCCCTCCTTCCAGCTCCCTTTTGAAGTGTATCAAGCAGTTCTTACCTGTCTGATGCCGGAACAAGGGGTGGGAGGGTATTCCTCCGAGAATCCCGCCAAGGCAGCTGCTGACTCTCTGAACCCAGTGTCTTGACGCTCTCTTGGTCCGAGTCCAGGATATTTTCCGCAGGGAGCGGGGGAAGCTTTGGCACGGAAGTCTCCTGCACATAAATGTTTTCTTCATTTGAACCCTTCTGACATTTATCTTCTTATATTTGTCTTTTTATCATTCTGTCAGCCACCCCGATCGGTGAGATGGGCAGCATATAAAATTTACTAAATTTAAAAAAAGCCCTAAATAATAAAAACAAACAAATAAGTGAATAAGAGTTTTGGAATGAAACTGAAATGACTCAGATATTGAAGAAGTCTTTAAGAGATTTTTCTGGGGGAAAAAATGTGAAATATTGAAGGGTGGAATTGAAACAAATGCTACAAAGGTTAGCGTCACAAAGACTGTGAGAACATTGAAAAATTCTATGGCTCCAAGTGTAGCTAACGGAACTGGGAAAATGGCAAAATAAGGAAAGGGTTTGGTTATATGCAACAAACACATAATGCATTTATTGTTGTTCACTGCATGTGCAAGATGACCCATCTGTTCTTGACCATTGGAAAATACTGTCACTGGGAGAAAGCTAGCCAGACTGTGATGGTGGCTGAGCTTGACCACCTGTATTCTGGACTCACCCTCTCCTGATGTGTTGAGGGAGGAGGCATGCAATTGGGTTTGACAATATTGGACAACTTTTGCCCAGTTTTCTTTTTTTGGGGGTGGGTGGGGAAGTTTCTCAAGAGGGTGGGTTGGTGCTCACTCCAGAAGACCCGGGATTATCTGGACCCCTTTCATTCAGGGTTCATTAGACTGGGGTACAGTACTGAGGCAGCACTGGTCTCATTTACTGATGACTTTTTTTTTGGGGGGGGAGGCATGAAGTGGGAGTGGTGCAACTGTCCTGGCTCTTTTCGTGGGCTTTGATGCCACCAACCATGATGAACTGGCTTCAGGGAGTGGAGAGACACTGTCTTTCAGTGGTTCTTCTCCTTTCTCCGTGACCGGTTCCAACTGATAACGGAGGAGGAGAGGTTATGCCTTAGGCCCTTGCACTGCAATGTGCCTTAGGGCTTGGGCCTCTCTCCTCTCCTCTTTAACACCTACCTGAAACTGTTGGGACAAAGTCATTTGATGTCAGGGGTGCAGTGTCATCCATATATTCATGGAGAAGCAGCTGCCCATTTCCACTCCAAGCCAGTCAGGTGATGCTATGGTGGAACTGACTGTGTGCCTGGAGGCTGGGAGGGTTTGAATGGGAAGGAACTGGCTCCAACTCAACTCTGGAAAGATGGAGTGGCTTTGGCCCTCAGGATCTGGTATAGGTTATCTTTCACAAAGGTTACATTTCCTCGGGACTGAACTGGTGTGCAATTTAAGGTTATTGCTGGCTTCACAGCTCCTGGTCAAGGAGCAGTTGACTGTTGAGGCTGGGGAGGGGAAAATCTGGATAATCAAAAAGTGTATTTTTTGGAATCATTCCCTCTTACAGAACAGTAAGAAATTGACCATGATTCCTTTCTTGTTATAACGTTTTTCATCTCGTTGGCTTCTGTGCTCTAGATAATATTGCTTATCTTTAAAGGGATAACGAAAAGTGAGCGGCAGGCTTCCAATAAGGGGGAAAAAACAATTCAGTAATAGATTTTATGTCCAACATTCATAGAAGATGATATGAAAAGATTTTCAGGATGTTTAAACAGATTTTCATTTTTTTTAAAAAAAAATCTATACACTCTTCGTTTTGCCTTGCCTTTTATTGGAAAAACTGCTTTGTTTCTTGACATTCGGGAGGTTTTTTTTTCCTGGATGCATCATTAAATGCAATGATGGGTTCAAGAATAAAATGAGAAGTGAAATTAGCTTTTCATTCCATATTCAGAAGAAGGCAGACAGCAGAAGAAAGAATGAACTGTAAAATTGATATTTACCACGTTATCTAAATGACTTACTGGAAGGGGTGATGGGCAACTCCTACCCAAGGACCTTCCCTCTCCTTGATTGAAAAGTCTACCCTGTCCCAATGTTGCATTTTCTACATTCAACAAGGTTGTAAGAGCCGTGGTGGCGCAGCGGTTATAGTGCAGAATTGCAGGCTAACTCTGCTGACTGCCAGCAGTTCGATCCTTAGAATAGAATAGAAAGAATGACAGAGTTGGAAGGGACCTTGGAGGTCTTCTAGTCCAACCCCCTGCTTCGGCAGGAAACCCTACACCACTTCAGACAAATGGTTATCCAATTTCTTCTTAAAAACACCCGGTGTTGGAGCATTCACAGCCACTGGAAGCAATCCTGACTGGTTCAAGATGGACTCAGCCTTCCATCCTTCCGAGGGTGGGTAAAATGAGGACCCAGATTGTTGGGGGCAATACGCTGACTCTATAAACTGCTTAGAGAGGGCTGCAAAGCACTATAAGGTGATATATAAGTCTAAGTGCTCCTGCAATTGTCACTCTCTGCTTAATGGGACGCCTAGGCTTCCTCGGCTGGTGCAGACAGTTTGGTCTAAATATGGGTACTGTTGAGGCCCAAGGATATCACTTTTGGATGAAGTGAAAGGATTTCAGCAATGAGAACATGAACATACCTTAAGAGCTCTAACAGCTGCTTGATCCATGGCTGCCATTCGATCTAAGGCCCCTTCTTCCAGCTCATGCAAGTAAACCTGATACAGTTCCTCCAGATGGGATGGCACCACTAGGTGAGACTCTGGCAATGAGAAGCGGAAGCAGAAATCAGGTCCCACAGGACAGGCAATCAGACCACAGAAGCTTCGACACTGGTCTTCAACTGAGATGACGGTCCCTTGTAGTATGAAGGGAATGGGACAGATGCTATGATTAGGAAGGTATTCTAAAGATACTGAATGCTTTTGACGGGAAAAGCATCGACGCTATGAGTGCAATAGGCTAAGACAGGGTGACAAGCTGCAAAATAATCCTGGGTCTCAAATGCATGACCTGTACGTGGCCCTTCAGGATGAAGCCAGTATCAATAAAGATAAGCCAGAAAAACAGAAATTCCCTTGTTTACATATAGACATGTACAGCAACTAAATGCTCTATTCATTTCTATGCTGTTTGCTCTTAAGGCTACTTACTCCCTAGAGTTTTTTATGCCAAAGTTTGAAAAGATTTCATTGCTGCAACCTTCAGGTTAATGAACTAGTGCTGATGCTTCTCCCATTATGATTTGAGTTTGAGACTCTTGAGCATAACCCTGTGGGATGCCACAAAATTGTGAGGCAAAAAGATTTTTCAATTACATTTGAGAGAGGCCATCAATAATAGATCATAAGCAAAGGTGAGGTATGTGAATCTGAAAGAAAGGATAGAGACCTCTGTTGTGCCTCAGAGAAGTCTGGAAAAGTAGATGATTATTATATAACATCACTTATTTTCTTACATTCAACTTCCTTAATGCAAGAACTGGCTTCCCCTCTACCACATTGTATCAAAATTGTACGTGTGTTTGTGTGTGTGTATCTCTATACCCATGACATACATATATACATACATACATACATATCTATCTATCTATCCATCCATCCATCCATCCATCCAGGGGTGGGATTCATTTTTTTTAACAACCAGTTCTGTGAGCGTGGCTTAATTGGTGGGTGTGGCTTTGTGGTAATGTGACTGGCTGGGCGTGGCCAACTCAACATCACTCACATCGAGGCACGCATCTCCTCTCCTGGCCTCTCATGACTGTGGGGATGCTGCAACACTCGTGTGAAAAATGGTTATAAGTCACTTTTTTCATTGCCATTGTAACTTTGAATGGTCACTCCACACAAGCAAAGTACCAGCAAAGGAGGGGGAAAAACTCCAGAGATGTTCCTGAGACAGGAAGTCTAGTCCAGCCAAGAATGTAATAAGGGTTAACAGAGAAGCAGTTTCTGTAAGCAACACCAGAATGTTTCCTTCCTGCCTTCCTTACAGGATTAGGCCAGTAATTTCTTCTAAGAACCGGCTCTCCGAACTGCTTAGAATGTTAACAACGGGTTCTAGCAAATAGGTGCGAACCTGTAGAATCCTATCTATCTATCTATCTATCTATCTATCTATCTATCTATCTATCTA